TCATTCCTCCATCCCGCTCTCCTTCCTGCGCACCTGCTCGGAGGCCACTTGTTGCGCAGCGCGCTCTCTCCAAGCGGCCACAGTGTTGCTCTCCAACCCGGGGGCTTTCCGAGGCAGGGCACCCTTTCCACCCCAGCCAAAGGCACCTTTCTGGCTTACTTGGCTGGAAAATGGCCCCGAGGGGCGAAGGGAGCATTTCCCTTTGGGCTCAAAGCAGGAGGGAGATTCTCGCCACGTTTGGCGCACTGACATCTCCAAAACGTGCCCAAAGCATTCTTGGCGATTGGGAAGAAAATAACAACAAGGGCCGGGTTTGTGAGGTCCAAGGGCGGAACCCGCCTCGGATGGAAAGGAACCCAAGTCATTTTCGATGACGATTTCCCGTTTTCTGAGGAGGAAAAGAAAGAAACCAGCCTGCTTTCTGCACAGTGGCGTTCAGTTTCTTGGCGACGTGCGCACAACACCGAGGACGACCTCGGCTGAGAAACAACAGTGTGGCCCATTTACATTCCTTCCCAATTAAACCGATCCTTTTTGGGTTGCTTGAGCAAGTCTCGGCCTTGGCTTGAATCGCGTCTCTGGGAAACTGGAGAGCATTTTCGGGGAGAGAAACGAGGAAAGAGAAAGCAAGGCAGATGCCCTCCTCGCGCGCCTTTGGCGAAGTGGTGCCGAAAGGAAAGGAAAGCAGGGAAGAAGGATTTGGGAAGAGGCGAAAGCCAAGTTTGCCTGACCCAGCCCTTCGTGGCTTTCGGGTCGAACTTTAAGCTCAAGACCCCTTTGCGTTAGCAACGGCCCGTTTCCACGTCGGTGCGAAATATTTGGGACTTTTTTGTGTTGTTTTGTGGAAGGCTGGAGGAGCTCAATGAGCACCCACCAGAAGCTCACCAAAGGCCCCCCTCTTCCTCCCAGCGCTTTCAAGGGGGAGCAAAGTGAATGGTTGTTGTCAAAGTGGATGAGGCTGGAAAGAAAAAGAAAGGGATGGAAAAAAAGAAGGGGTGTCGTTCCAAAAACAAAACCAAACCAAACGACAAAACCCGAAGACTCTCTCTCACACAAAAAACTTTGGAAATGGGTAGATTTCGCAGGTGTAGGGAGCAGTTAACAAGCATGGCGGGCGCGGGCTCCCCCAGGGCGGCGAGTGTGACAGGGACAGCTGGCTCCGTTTTCCCTGTGAAAACCCCCCCTGGGCGGACCATACACAACGACAGTGACCTTTCTGCAGGGGGAACCAGAGCCGGCCCTTTGACTGAATTAGTCACAAAGGCGTCTTGCTATGACTTTTGTTCCGCCCAAAGCCAGGAAAGATGGCGTTTAATAGGAGAAGGGTTGTCCCCAGCTTTCTCGTGCTCCTCCAAGAAATATGACCGGTCTCATCCCAGGGAGCTCGTTTCTCTTCCTCACTCTTTCTCTCGCCCCCCTCCCCCCTTTCTCCTCTCTCTCTCTCTCTCTCTCTCTCTCCAAGGAGAACAGGAGCCCAAGAGGAGCACTTGCTGCTTCAGGCTGCGCGCCTCTTCTTTCTTCCCTCCCCCCAAAAAGGAGCGCTCTCTCTGTGTCTGGGCGCAGAAGGGGCGACTTTATCCATCTTTTCATGATCTGACAATACTTGGAAATGCATCATTGTCACTGGGGGTGGCTTGATAGATGAGCCCCAGGCGCGGGGCCTTTCTCCAAGGTCAAGTTGAAGATTCTGGTTTGGTGTTTAACTGAAGTTTGGTTAACAATGCCCGCCTGTTAAGTTGCCTCTTGTCCTTGGAGAGAAATCCTTCCTCAAACGCCTTTTCTTCTTGATGTCTCTCTTTTGGAGATTGGGGGGAGGGTGGGGTGTGGTGGGGGGGGGGCAAAGGGGAGGGAGAGGTCTCTTTGCTTAAGCTCTCCAAGGAAAGTGGAGGACTCAGGCCCAGGGACGGAGGTGGAAAGGCGACTGTAAAGACTTGCCTTCTCAAGGAGACAAGAGATCTTTTTTCCACCCTGGGCATTCCACAGATATATAAACCCCACTTGCCTAGTTCCCAAYAGACCTCACAACCACTAAGGATGCCTGCCATAGATGTGGGCAAAACGTCAGGAGAAAATGCTTCTGGAACATGGCTATAAAGCTCGGAAAACTCACATCAACCCACTTGCCTTCTCAAGCAGACAAGAGTTCTTTCTCCCACAATGGACATTCCACAGATATATAAACCTCACTTACTTAGTTTCCAACAGACCCCTCAACTTCTGAGGATGCCTGCCGTAGATGTGGGTGAAAAGTCAGGAGAGATTGCTGCTGGAACATGATCATACAGCCCAGAAAACTCTCAGCAACCCACTTGCCTTCTCCTTTGCCAAACTTTTCCATCTTTCCTTTCTGGCTGAGCAATAGATGTCTTCTCTCCCACTTTCCTGGGGGACTTCTCTTTTTTAGGAACCCAAAGCTGGTTTGTGGCAAAGACAGCCTTGGAAGGCAATGCTTCCTTTTTTAAATACTAGACTTGAACCTGTTGTCTTTTGTTGGGAATCAGAGCTGTTAGGCTAAAAAAGAAAACCCTCACTTGGGGTGATTCCTCTATAAATATAGCAGAATGGTAGAAGCAAACTTCATAACCAGAGGAAACTTACATGTGGTGAGTCAGGATTAACTTCCATTCAAGAGGATGGAACAGGATTGCAGAGACAGAACTTTAGGTTCAAAATATATCATTCTGGATAGAAAAGGGTCTTAGAGCTAATTAGCTTGCTAAGATAATCTTCTAAGGAATGTGAAAGGATAAAATATCAAAAGTATCCATGCAGCTACATTTTGCCTGGAGAATGGCAAAATGTGTCCTCACTGGAAGAAAGACAAAGGCAGAAGAGAAAGGGCCAAAATGGAGAATAGCAACATGGCTACAAGCCAGGGCAATAAAAATACATTTCATAGAATCATAGAATCATAGAGTTGGAAGAGACCTCATGGGCCATCCAGTCCAACCCCCTGCCAAGAAGCAGGAATATTGCATTCAAAGCACCCCTGACAGATGGCCATCCAGCCTCTGTTTAAAAACCTTCAAAGAAGGAGCCTCCACCACACTCCAGGGCAGAGAGTTCCACTGCTGAACGGCTCTCACAGTCAGGAAGTTCTTCCTCATGTTCAGATGGAATCTCCTTTTAAAGAGGAAGTTACTTCACCCCTCACAGAGATCCCATTGCTACATCTTCAAAGGGGGAAGGAGATAGTGGCAAGGAAGGAGAGCAAGACAAAGCCCCTTCTGGGATAAGCATGCATAGGAATGTGGGGTGAGGAATCCCTCGCTCTAATCCAATCTAGTCTAGCTACTCATTGAGGACTGGAGACTTGTGCAGTCAGGGATGAAACCCACCTTCCCTTTGCGTTTTCTTTCACCTCTTTTGGGGAACTTTCCTCTGGCCTCCACCGACTGTTTCCTCTCTCTCTCCCTTTGCCTCAGAGATGATTGATATTTGTTATTCAGCCCAACTTTTTTTATTTACCTTGCACAATAAAAAAATGTTGGGGGGGGGACCCAATGTGATAAATGGCCGGGATGCAAATCCCATTGAATGGCGGGGCAAGTGTGTCTCGCTGGGTCTGAATGCGGCCTTGCAGTCGGTCTGCGCGCCCTCAGGAGCCCAGGGAGCTGATCAAAGCACCCTTTCTCTTTCATCCCCAGTCTTCCCCTCCAAACGATTTCGATACAATATGTTTCCATGATGCCCTGAATGGGCTCGGGACACAGAACTCATTACAGCCCAGCTAGTTCTGCCGATCCCTTTGTTCGGAGGCAGAAAGTCAAAGAGAGCAAGAGGGAGTTTGGGGAGGGAGCGCCCGGCCCTGCCGCCTCTTGCCAGCTTCTCTCAAATGCAAAAGCCTGCGTCATTTTTCACAAGGTCTCGTCTTGATATCCTCAAAAGACAAGCTGTGCAACCGGCTTTGGCCTCCTCTGACATTCATTAAGCCCCTGTCCAGGAGATCTGTTTTTCCCTATTATATGCATTTCTCAGCAGGGCGTTTTTTGCGCATTTTTTTGGGCCAGACCTTTATTTATTTATTTTGCAGCTGCCAGTTAAACTATGAATACATTTTGGGGTTTTTTTTTTAATGGGGAAAGGAGGAAAAGGGGGACGACGTTGCATACTCTCACTGTGCACTCTTCCATTTCAAGGTGGCTCAATGGGTATGAGAAAGAAGAGTTTGTGTTCCCATTTGCCAGGCTAGACTTCATTGAGAAGAGTATCCTGCTTCATCTTGTGATAACTCATTCCTTATTTTCCCAGACTGAAATCTAATCCCTTTCTTGTGCAGGTTAGTCCTCACTTTGAGTTTTCTGGGCTGTATGGCTATGTTCCAGAAGCATTCTCTCCTGACATTTCGCCCACATCTATAGCAGGCATTCTCAGAGGTTGTGAGGTCTGTTGGAAACTAGACAAGTGAGGTTTACATATCTGTGGAATAATGTCCAGGGTGGGAGAAAGAACTCTTGAACTCTTGTCTGCTTGAGGCAAGTATAAATGTTGCAATTAGCTGGCTTGATTTGCATTGAATGGCCTTGCAGCTTCAAAGCCTGGCTGCTTCCTGCCTGGGGAATCCTTGGTTGGGAGGCGTTAGCTGGCCCCAATTGTTTCCTGTCTAGAATTCCCGATTTTTTGAGTGTTGCTCTTTATTTACTGTCCTGATTTTAAATTTACTTTATTTATTAAAGAATGCTGCTCTTTAGTAAATAAAGAGCAACACTCAAAAATGGGCATTCCAGACAGGAAACAATCAGGGCCAGCTAACACCTCTGGTCTGTTGGAGGCAAGTGTGAATGTTGCAATTGATCATCTTGATTAGCATTGAATAGCCTTGCAGGTTCAAAGCTTGGATGCCCCTTGCCTGGGGGAATCCTTTGTTGGGATGTGATTAGCTGACCTTGATTGTTTCTTGTCAGGAATTACCCTGTTATTTGAGTGTTCCTCTTTATTTACTGTCCTGATTTTAGAATTTTTTAATACTGGCAGCCAGAATTTGTTAATTTTCATGGTTTCCTCCTTTCTGTTGAAATAGTTCAGATGTCTTTGGATTTCAATGGCTTCTCTGCATAGTCTGACATGATGGTTGTTAGAGTGGTCCAGCATTTCAATGTTTTCAAATCATATGCTGTGTCTAGGTTGGTTCATCAGGTGCTCTGCTATGGCTGACTTCTCTGGTTGAATTAGTCTGCAGTGCCTTTCATTTTCCTTGATTCGTGTTTGAGCAATGCTGCATTTGGTGGTCCCTGTGTAGGCTTGTTGGGAATCAGAGCTGTTAGGCTCAAAAAATAACCATCACTTGGGGTGATTCCACCATAAATATAGCAGAGTACTAGAAGCAAATTCCATAACTAGCAGAAACTTATGTGTGGTGAGTCAGGATTAGCTTCCATTCAATAGCATGGCACAGAATTGCAGTCACAACTTTAGGTTCAAAACATTTATTGAAGTAAAAAGAAATCCATTCTAGATAGAAAAGGGTCTTGGCACTCACTAGCTTACTAAGCTTATCTTCTAAGGAAGGTAAAAAGGTAAAATATCAAAAGCATCCTCACTGGAAGGGAGACAAAGGCAGAGAGAGAGAGCAATGGAGAATGACCA